CTACCAATAATCGATTCAGATCTGAAGTAAGAACCTGAATTCAATCACGCTTAATCCTGACACAAACGATTCAGGTACAAGTCTGTTGAAGGCATTTATCCCACTGATAACGATTTATAACTTTACCCTGCCATACAGATAATTGGATTTGATTCCCAAGGTACCAGGTTTCTGCTCACACCATCAGGAATGTCTTGGTCTAGGAAGGTATGAAAATATTGACTATAAACTTAGAGAGCATTATGAATACTGTAGGACAGTAGGACGCACAACATCTCGTTTATAGGCATGGCAATAGGACAACTACATTACTCATGAGTTATGACACTAACAATCACTTAAGGGACTCCTCTAAATTTATGCCTCCAAAATGTTTTTACTATACCACAAAGTCATCATTTCAGCCTCTTGCATGTATTGTTAAGTAATGCCATTTAAAAAAAATTGAAAATTATTGTTATGCTAAATTGACAGTCTTTTTTCACATTCCTTCAATTGTACACGTCAGAGTTTAGCAGAAGGAATCCTCTTATGCTTTCACATGAAATGAGCAGTGATTCAAGTCTCCTGCAGTACAAAAAAGCCACTCTTAACTTTCATTGCTCAGGTGATATCTGGATTTAAATGACTCCCTAATTCAACACTTTATATTGTCCTGAAGAAATTCTAACAAGGGAGATTATAAAAGGCAACATTTCTTTGACAAGATCACTTTGAAGAATGGGAACTGTTAAAAGTTTCTCAGGTGCTGGGAATCTGAGTTGTCACACGTGGAGATGAAGAGGTGGGCAGAGTACAGGTGAAGCAGAAGTTCACAATCAACGTCCTCATCCATGCCTGGGAATTACCACATCAGAAATGCAATTATCTCTGCTAGGAAGACTATAAGAAGCTACATGTTCATTGCAGGAAGGTATTTAGAATATTTCTATAAAAAACAAGTTGGTAAGACTGGTTCTTTCTACTTAATTCTCCCTTTCACCAGTTCCGTCTCAGTAGATTAATATATCAAGAAATAATGAGAATTTGGGAAACTTAGATGAAAAATACCTCTCGCCCATAGTTTCCTGCATTATTGCCAAGAAAACATGAAGGGAACTGTTTATTCATTTCCAAGGACATAAGAGAAACAGTTGTTAATAGTTTAAAAAATGGTTTTAAGAACTACAAAGGATGAAAAGAAAAATGATGGTTATTATTAAGAAACTAATAATGCCTTCCAGGATAATGTCAAATATATCTGGCGTTAAACACATTAACATGCCAGACAAACTGCTTTCTCCTTGCCCCAAGACACTCCCAGGTGATGGGTTTGGATAGACACAGAACAGTCCAGCGTCAGGCGCAGCGTGGCTGGTAGGAGGGGTAAGGTTCACCAGGGAGGCGTGTGTCAGCGCTGTAACCGGAATGCCTTCTGGTAAAACAGCAGCAATGGATCTCAGATCTCCCTGTACTTTACTGCTGGAGGAAAATAATTTTTTTGCCTTGACATCTGCTATAATTTAAATCTGACTTTGAACTCCTTAACTCAACTAAAGTTGCTACTGACCCAAAGGGAAATTTGCTTGATAAATCCTGACTTTAAAATTGGAATCTAAGGTTATCTTTGTTGTTTGGGCCTGAAATCCCAGCAAATAGAGTGAATTTGTTTTTCAGCAGGATGGTGCAGATATGACCTGGACAAGTGGCTAGAGCAAGAACCTGCATTTGGTTCTTGGGCCAGCTCTGTAGGCCGGGAGGTCTCACAGGGGCTGAACGCATTTCCTAGTCAGAGAATCATAGAGTAGTCTAGGTTGGAAGGGACCTTTCTGATCATCGAGTCCAACCATCAACCTAACCCTGGCAAAGCCATCACTGAACCATGTTGCTAAGCACTATATCTACCCATGCCTCCAGGGATGACAATTCCACCACTTCCCTGGGCAGCCTGTTCCAATGCTTGATAACCCTTTTGGTGTAGAAATTTTTCCTAATATCCAATGTAAACCTCCCCTGGGACAACTTGAAGCCATTTCAGAGCTCAGGGAGGAACCAAATGAGAGCTGCTGGTACAAAACAGAGAAAGGGTGTAATACTATCATAGCCATGTTGGCAAAGGAAGGACATTTGTTTTTCTTCATTTTTGAGGACTTCAGCTATCTGTTTTATATTCATATTGAAGAATGACAATTACATTGGTTCACTCACCATTTTACAATATACATGAAGGGCCAAGCAAAGCCAAACAATGAGTAATTTCTACTTGAGCCAATATATTTATAGTATAAAAAGGCAAATACAGATCCAAACATGTGCTAAGGCTCTCTTATTGTAATGCTTTGCCCTTTGCACCAGTTCCCCCCCGGCAGTCTTTGGTTACTTCACTGTGTCTATGGGGATCCCCACAGCTGGCAGACAAATCCTGTAACCACAGCAATTCCCTCACTTATTATTTTTGGCAAAAAAATAAGGCATTGGGCTGTGTGACTCCCCCCAGTGCAGAAACGTGTCACTGAAGGAGGCAGGTAGTGGTACACAATGAAATTCAGTGAACCTGCAGAAAATCAGAGCGTTTGGCCCCCATAGGAGTGAAATAACATGGAGGTAAGTAAGTGAAAACTTCCTTTCTCTTGCAGAGCTACTGTGCATCCTCCAGCATTGGGGAACTGCTGGAGACAGCAATAACTTTAGCAGCCTCTCTGCACCCAACCCAACAGCTGTCATTTTTTCTGATTGTCCTGGGCCAAGCAACACAGGACTAACTTTTCTTCTATTGCTGCACTTTTAGAGGACTCTAGTGTCTCAATTCATGAAAATGTTTACTTTATAGTGAGCCAGGCTACGTGGGATTAAACGTCTCAGTGTTTTCGAGCCTTGCCAGGTGCAGGGATGAGAAGAATTGAGGCCTGGGTATATGACCCAGACTGTCCAACAGGATTATTTCATACCACGAACATCACATTCAATATAAATTAGAAAAGTTTGCTGCGTAGTTCTCTCTCCCTTGAAGATGGCGGCCCAGAGAACTCCTTGCCCCAGTGCTGGATCCCTGAACCCTTCCTTTCCCCCCGAAGCTGTTGCACTCACAGAGTCTGACATTTATTGGTCATTGCTGGGAGTGCACAGCTTCCTGCTGATAGAATTGTCTGAGTATAATTCTTGTATACTGTATATCAGTATCAGAATTTTATATTTCAACCCTTGTGTTTCCTTGCTTTCCCCGACTCCCCTTTCCAGGTGGGGAGGGGTCATCGGGTGATAGAATAATTGTCCAAATGACAAGAAATTGTTATAGGTTTTCTCAAATGATAACACTGATGAATGTGGATTCCTGGGTCCACCCTAACTTTGCTGATGTCCCAGCTTGATGCTACAGCTCCCTCAACTGTTCCTCTGGAGAGAGAGAGGCACTCGGGAGTCTGTCCACTCTAGATCTCCCCAGAACTGATGTAAGTTCTTACTGACCTTTCCAAAAAGCCATCACAGCACCAATCTGTCCCATGACTAAACGTGAATGAGACAGAGATTTAGGGTTTACTCTCAATAGCTAGTGAACAGCACTGATGCTGTCACAAAAGTCTGGGTTGTTTTAATAGTTTTAAAAAAATGTGCATTTTTATACATCTACATTTCTATACACCAAAGCAGGGCTCATTAAAACCAGGTGAGTGGAGCAGGCAAATTCCCTTCGTGTTGAAGAAAGGTAGAAAGGAGTATAGTGGCACTGTAATACAAACCCCTTCATACAGGGAAGTTCTAGTTCCCAAACCGAAATTAGGCTACACAGCACCAGGAATCATCAGAAGAAATTTAGATGATTGAAAGCATATTATACTGATAACTTCCTGGAGTCATGCCTATCTTTGTGTTACTAGTCACCGCCTGCATAGGTGAAGCAAGGTTAATCACAGTAGGAAACTGTTATGAAATAATTTTGACTGAGGAAATAACTAATTAAGTTTCCCCCATGGCAAACCAGCATAGTTGCAAGTGCTTGAGCCACTCTGGAAACAATAGTACCATTCACAAGCGTAAAGCAAGTAGATTTTAGTATATGTAAAAGGAAAACCTTCATGTATCAGCAGCTATAATGGACACATTGTAATTCCATCTTCCACATATATATATATATGTTTACACACATACGAATGTGTGCATACACCTTCTACATAAAGAGATTCCCCAGCACACTGAAGCCTGCTATAAACAACTTGTTTGTAACATGTAAATCAGCAAACACAGGCAAAGCTTTCAGCTTCTAAGAACATCTTTCTGATCAAGTGTGCTTTTGCAAACAGATGCTGCAGAGCATGAAAACAACCATTCCGACTAATTCCATCTCTCTCAGCAGAAACCCTATCTTTAAAAGTCACTCATCACTGAATGGCCTTTGGTCTGCAGAAAAATGTGAAGCATGCTTTAATTACATCCCCAGTGGCCTCCCATCCGATGTCCTGTCCACTGTATCTCTGGCGAGACAGCCTTATCTCTGGATATTTTTCAATTACACTAAACAGCATTTATTCAGGTCCTCACTGATTCACTGTATCAGTATGTGGCCATTTGCTCTTTAAGCACAATTCTGAAAAGTGAAGTCTGCCTCATTAAACAGTGTAAGATTTCCAGTAATGCTTAATAATAATGGCTACATTAATTAACGTTACATTCAAATGGAATCCCTCTGAGGATACGTATCACACTGCTATCATGTTTATACCTAATGTGTTAATATCAACTCATGTTCTTACAAGAGAATTGTTGCTTTATAACAATACATTCTAGTTGTGAATTAAGCACCACTTGATGTTAGATATGCTGCCCCTATATTTTAGTGTACTATATCATACATATGTTTCATTCACATTATATTTCCTCTTTATAATAGTTAGTCATATGCATCAAATGAACTTGTTATCAGCCCTGCACAGTGAAGACACCTTTTCTATGTCATCTGAGTTTTTAGAGTCAGCCTCTTGCAGCACTCTGCAATACACAGAAAAATCCCCTCATGCACATCTTACCTCTTTGGTGTGGGTATGGAAGGAGACTGACATGTCCAAGAGAAGTTTCCTCTGTTCCACCCTCCGAACAAAGTCCTGAATCCGTACTTCCAGATGCCGAGCTGCTTTATAGATCTCTTCAGGGTCACATTCCCCAGTCTGAGCCAACTGCTCTGCAGCCTCCAAAAGCTTGTCTGCATTGGTGTATGTATTCTACCATTAAACAAAGCAAGAAACCAAGTATGAGTAATACAACTGTGGCAAGTAAACTCCTGAAAAAGGCTGTTTATACTTTCAAAGGCATGAAAGCAAGTGATTACCAGAGTTTTAAAACAATAGTAATAATTCCTACTGGCACTTCCATCTGTGAAAGGAGAATGTATAAAGCCACAGAGACTATTCCCTGTGTACAAATGAAATAATTTATTTGAAACACACCACCCCAGCCCAATCCTCCCAGGAGCAGCAACAGGACTGTGCACTTGTTTATTTCCAAGTCTCCTGGAATTTCTCAAAGATAATGTAATGAAGCAAGTGGGACTAACCACCACAGAAGCCCATGGTGCCTCACGTGACACTCATCTACAAGCTCGTTGCAAAGGCCTCCCAACAGCTATCACATTACAGCATGTAATCATGGTAGCCAGAGATGTCTCAAGATGCCTCAAGAAACATTTGCCTTTCACTGACTTTTGTGAGATAACTCGAGAAGACTGTGTCTTCAAGTTCCTTCTACATTTTTTCCTCTTGCCTACTGTTCTGCATCCAATTTCTAAATGGAGAAAGTCTCTTTGATTAGCGTGCAGCTGCCAATATGTAAGCTCAGATTGCTTTGGAGGGGTATCATTTCTAGTTTGTCCAAGGCATCTACCTGCCCTTCATTACAAAAGAATTTGAACACTTTGCCATCCTGAACAGATTTGCCCCATAGCCACAGCCTTTGCCACATGAGATGTATTATCCCTGCTTTACAGAGAGGGAAGTGAAGAATGCAGAAGCAAAGCGATGTACACAAGACAAATCAGACTGTAGAGGAACAGAGGTGAATAGCATCAAAGGTACCTCAGCTTTCAAACCACCTGCCCATCCTTTCCCTCTCTCCTTCATGTTTCTGGAAAACACCACTGAACTAATACACCAGAGAGCAGAAATGGAGGAGTGTAGTCATCTTCTCCATAGCCATGGAGCTATGGTTTACTCAGCCATGTTTAGTGAACTGAACATAGCAAGCTCTTGCTGTCACAGAAAAGCTTCTTCACTCAAGTTGAGGACAATAGCTCTGTGGCATTTAGCACTTAACAAAAATAAGGAGAGACAAAGATTTCAGCTTAAAGGTCTTTCCAGTACCTTCAGGTGAGATCTTCAGAAATGCTTGGTGTTGGCCTAAGACTGCTCCCACTGGGAATTTTAACCTCCCCATTAATAGAAGCAGAACTGCAACACTTTCCTTTTCAAAATCTTACTGAGAATCCTTCTCAGTTTAAAAATGCATTAACTTGATACTTATTCAAAAAATACCTTTGAACACTGTGGACACATATGTACTTCTAAGCATTAAAGGAACACTGTCAAACATAAAAGCCATGAACCAAGTCATGTTGTTATTACTTAGATAATATCCTGCTGCAGTCAATAGTTTTTGCTTGAGAAAATATTGAATACAAAGAGGGAACATTGGCCTGCAAGTGTTTAATGGGGGAAAATATTTCCAGTTATAAAAAGCAGAAAGAAAACAGCTCATTCACTGTTCATTTTCCCAGTTTCTGAAGGCTGACTATATATATGTGCAGTATTTGCATTTCTTCTTTTGGACTGTGAAGAACATATTCTAGACAGTTTTGTTACCAATAGTAAATTTTTATTCCCTCACTTTCAGGCCGCTGCTATAATGGTTAGGTTGTTAACAGCAGCAAACGTTACGTTTTAATAATCATTTTTTGGAAACCCCTTTAGCTGAGAATTTGTAAAAAATGTTCCATTTAATATGATCTGAATAAGGGTCCAGTTTCACTTAACAGCATCCTTTCTGAATGATCCTCTTCCAAAGTATTTGGTGCAAATGCCAAAGCTAGCGCTATTTTTCAAAGTCTACTCTACTCTAGGACTTTTCACAAATTACCACTACAACAGCTCAAACACCACTCCAGCACCCTGGGGAGAATGCTGTCCCCTGCTTTTATTTATAATATTTAGCATACTTTTAAACACATTCAGCCTCTGCTTATGGCACAGGCTTGAGACACAAACACCTTTGTTGAAATAGAGTACGAATACAGCTTTGCTGCATTTGTCCCTAACACCCTTATGTTCATCTCTGCTGAAAACCATTACAATTTACTGACTCCAACACATGCTGTACCTAATTATATCTAGATGAGGTGACTTCAACAATACAATGATCAGATACAAATATCCTGCATGGTGAAAAGAGTGTAGGCTGAGCCCCAGATTTTGGGGGAAAGCCCACCTGGGCTGTGGCAGGCTCTGTCAGCCTACAGTGATGCTTCTTTGAAGCATCCATACCTAATTTTGGACAAGTTTGCATAAATATTTTGTGCACAAGAAGCCTGAACACAGCACATTTTAAGTATGCTGAAATTTTTGTCCACTTCTTTTTCTGTTTTTGTCCATCGAGTTCCCAGGTAAGTGTTTGAGTTTTTTAAAACAGGTGCATTTTATAATAGAGGAAAACACTCATGGCTTTATCCCTGACATTCCAGAAGGAAGACCTGGTGCTGAGACATTTCCAGCTCCCTGTTGCAGATTTGAGAGGTTTAGTTACATTTCAGATAAGCAACCATATTTGGGAGTTAGCCACACTCGCCTTGAACTCCAGAGTTTGACATATAATGAAAGGATTGTCATCTACTGTTAGATGAGACATAAACACAGCACAGGCCAAATAAGCTAGAGGTCAGTTATTTGGTAAGGGCCTGCTCTACTTTTGTTGTGTTCATTTGCTTCAAGTGCACATAAATCATATCAAAACTTGTTACGCCTATCAAATATTTTCATGTACATCTATTTCTCTACAAATGCTGAGCTAAAACTATGTTGAACCTGTGAGCTTCATCCCCGTTGCTACTGTAGTGCTGCGCTGCTTGCCTGCTCTGTACATTTTCATCCTGAGCTCACTCTCTTGCTTGTAAGCTCTTCAGAGTACAGACCCTTATTTCATTTGTTTCGAGCACTTCGTACTTTTTTTGGTATGACATAACCCTGGATCAGGCAGGGTGAGACTCCAAGAGAGAATTAAGACTCCCAGCCCTTCTCAGATCTGGAAGGATCTATCAGGAGCACAAGATCTAGGTACATTTCCAAACTGGCATCGAGATTCAAAACTTTGGAAGAAGGTAAGAGCTAATGCAACCACAGAAGAAACTTTTCACTACTAGGAGGACAATTATGGCTGTCCCCTTTTCTGCAAACTGCCAACCATGGAAGGTTTTCTGTGGCATCCTGAGGAAGGAGACATCAAGAATGGCTAATCCCTCCAGAGGGGAGATCCCAAGAAGAAACTCTTTTGGGTCTGTGGAAATTAGTTCCTGTCAAACAATAATAGCACAAGTTCCACAGAAAAATAGTCTACGAGTTATAAAATTATATTATCTCTGGAAGTTTAGGGGTGTGTGGTATTTTTTCCTAACATTGTATTAACCCCTGAGAGAACTGCCATGTGCAAATCCTTGAAAATGTTAGTGATCTGCTAACTGGCTATACATGCTCCTGTACCATTTCAAGCACAAAAGCAACTTCCATCGCAAATATTTTAATAATCTTTCTATACTAATCTTTGCATAATCACCTATTTCAATCTTGAAATCTGCAATCACAAAGAAATGAAACCTCACCCTTCACGTTTCAGAGTGAAAATGGCTGTAATATACACTTTTGGAACTAATTTTAGATGGAGCCAGGAGGCTATATAAAAGTCTCTCTTCTGTTTCTTGCAAATAACAAAAAAGAAACACAATTATGGAAAAGAAATAGACTAACAAAACCTATACAACAATCCTTACCACAATTCAGACTTGGAGGTGATGGCAATATTTACTAACAGGATTCCCATAACTTTGGTTTATTAACTGTTAAGAGTTTGATGTTCCGTAGCAAGTGCAAAAAAAAATGGTTTATGAAAAAGCTGGTGTGAAATTTGTCAGTTACATTTATCACAATTTCCTTTGCATTTCAGACCAACAAGTGCCAAAATGTCAGGATCCATTTCAATCTCTGACCCAGGTAGCAGATCTCAGCCAAGATTCCACTGTGTATCCAGGTTAAGGCATATGAAGCTATCTCTGCATTGGAAATGCACTATCCAAACACAGCTCTTTTGGTTAACTGCCTAAGAGATTTCCTTAAAGTTGAAACAGGCATTATTTGGTCCATAATTTTTGTGTCAGGGAAGTGTTTCATCAACTGTTCTCTCCAAACCTTAACCCAGAGTAGGAGTTGCACTGATTCTCAACACCAGAGAGATTTGGCTGTGTGCAGTTTGTGCTTGGCCTCATCTGTTACACAGAAAATAGTACCACAGTGCTCAGCGCAAACCAACCAAAGGGCCCCAATTCTGGTTTGAAAGTATTTGGCTTTTTGGTTTTTTTCTATCTAAAAATAAATAAATAATTGCACGAAAAAATACTGAATAATGCATCAGTTATTTCTTCGACCAATGTAAGGTTACAGGCAGCAGAACAGAAATATTTTGCCTTTCTAATTTATGATATGTCTTGCAAGCTAAAGAAATCTAGTATCTTAGTCACTTAGAAACAAATTAGAATGGAATGGAATAGACTATTTTAGTTGGAATAGACTTAAAACAATCATCTAGTTCAACTTTCTGAACAATTCAGGGCTGACCAAAAGTTCAAAGACTATTTTAGTTGGAACAGACTTAAAACAATCATCTAGTTCAACTTCCTGAACAATTCAGGGCTGACCAAAAGTTCAAAAAAATAGTACCGCAGTGCAAACCAACCAAAGGGCCCCAATTCTGGTTTGAAAGTATTTGGCTTTTTGGTTTTTTTCTATCTAAAAATAAATAAATAATTGCACGAAAAAATACTGAATAATGCATCAGTTATTTCTTCGACCAATGTAAGGTTACAGGCAGCAGAACAGAAATATTTTGCCTTTCTAATTTATGATATGTCTTGCAAGCTAAAGAAATCTAGTATCTTAGTCACTTAGAAACAAATTAGAATGGAATGGAA